TTCTTTATCCATTTATCCACTGATGGACACTTAAGCTGTTTGTATATCTTGTCTATTGAAAATAATGCTGCAATGAACATGGAGGTACAGATAATTTTTCAATTTAGTGTTTTTGTTTTCCTTGGATAAATACCCAGAAGTGGAACTGCTGAATCATATGGCAGTTCTACTTGTAACTTTTTGAGGAACTCCATACTGTTTTCCACAGTGGTTGCCCCAATTTACACTCCCACCAACAGTGCACCTTTTCTATATTGTCACCAACACTTACTGTCTTTTTGATAATAGCCATTCTAATAGGTGTGAAGGGATATCTCATTGTGGTTTTGATTTAAATTTCCCTGATGATCAGTGATATTGAGCATCTTTTTATGTACCTGCTGCCCTTCCAATGTCTTCTTTGAAAAAACATCTATTCAGATTTTCTGCCCCTTTTTAATCAGATTTTTCTTGCTACTGAGTTGTATGAGTTTTTTATATATCTTGGATATTAACCCCTTATCAGAGATATGAGTTGCAAATATTTTCTCCCCTTCGGTAGTTTGCCTTTTCATTTTGCTGATGATTTCCTTTGCTGTGCAGAAGCTTTTTAAAACTTTGATGTAGTCCCACTTATTTTTGCTTTTGTTGCCCTTGCTTTTGGAATTCAGATCCAAAACATCATCGCCCAGACCACCTATACTTTCTTGTAGAACTTTTATGGATTCAGGTCTTATATTCAAGTCTTTAATCCATTTTGAGTTAATTTTCGTGTATGCTGTAGAGGTAGTGGTCCAGTTTCATTCTTTTGTATGTAGCTGTCCAGTTTTCCCAACACCATTTATTGAAGAGACTGTCTCATTGTATATTCTTAGCTGCTCTGTCATAAACTGTATATGCATGGATTTATTTCTGGGCTCTCTATTCTATTCCACTGATCTATGTGTCTGCTTTTACACTAAGACCATGATGTTTTAGTTACTATTGCTTTGTAATGTAGTTTGAAATCAGAGGGCATGATGCCTCTGGCTTTGTTCTTTCTCAAGACTGCTTTGGCTATCCAGACAGGATCTTTTGTGGTTCCATACAAATTTTAAAATTAGGTTCTATTTCTGTAAAAAATACCATTGGAATCTTGACAGGGTTTGCCCTGAATCTGTAGATCGCTTTGTGTAGTATAGATATTTTAAAAATATTAATTCTTCCAACCCAATTCAAAACCAGCTGTCAGATACCAGAGTCTTATAACATTTCTGCAACTAAGATCCTCTATTAGCATCACCATTTGGGCTGCTAGCATCACCACTGTCTGCTAGAAGCTCTGAGTATTATTTTTAATGTTTTCAGCAGTTCGTCAAGATTATCCTCCTTTTGGAGATGAGGGAAATGAGGATCAAGGATTTAAGTGATTTTGCTCAAAAGCTTAAGCCTGTATGTTTTTAGCATTTGAACTCAAGATTTTCTGTTAACTACTAAACTTATGTTCCCTCTACTATACCACTACTCTGCCATACCTAGTATCTAGCATCAACTAATATGGTCAGTAACATGTACAGCTAACCCTGGAACAACATGGGTTCAAACCACACAGGTCCACTTATAAGTGGATTTTTTTCCATTAGTACAGTACAGTATTGTAAAGGTATTTTCTCTTCCTTATGATTTTCTTAGTAACATCTTCTCTTCTCTAATTTACTGTAAGAATACAGTATACATTACATATAATATACAAACTATGTGTTAATCGACTGTTTGTGTTATTGGTAAGGCTTCTAGTCAAGGCTATCAGTAGTTAAGTTTGGGGGAGTCAAATGTTGTAAGTGGCTTTGACTGTGTGGGGGTCAGAGCTCCTAACCGCTGCACTGTTCAAGGGTCAAATACAATTAATACGGAAATGCACACAACTATTAAACTATGTATCTGTTTACATTTGTAAGCATTCCACTGAGGCTGAGAAACTATTTGATTGCAAGAGACTTAGGTATGATTCCAGTCACACCATCCGGAGAAACACTAGCTTGCCATACAACTGTCCCAGGCAACTGGGACAAGGACTCAGGGTTTCCTCAATTCTTACCCGCCAGACATAAAAATATGTGTATGGAAATTATTTAGCAGAAATCAACAGGCATAATATGTGGCTTACATTATTATACAAAACATGTCAATGCATTCCAAGATATTGACAACAAGCATATGAAATAATGTTAACTCATCCAAAGATATATGATAGTTTTAACAGATTTAACAAGTAATTTTGTATGCCCTCTTAGAATTTAAAAGGACATCTTAGCATTGTTTCAAATAGCCTTTTTCTTTAAATCAAAAAACAAGAGCTATTTAGTGAAGTTTAAACCAATGCATAACTTTTAAGTACTACACAAAGCTTTCTGGTTATATCAGCACAAAGAAGAAATGCTGAACTAAGACTCTCCCAAGAGATTTTGCTAACTTTTAACTTTAGAGAAAACAGTAACTGAAACCCACAAGTCATATACACGTGGCCTTGCTCTCATGATTTTCAGATCATAACCACAGAAATCCAAATGTAGTAGACACTGTCTACAGGCATTCAACATTTATTCCCACCTCCACTGTCTCCTTCCCTATATCAGAGACTAGAAGGCTAAAAAGCTCATTTCTCAGGTCCCTTGCCATGGGACTTTAATTTTTCTTCCTTCTGTATCTATATGCCTTGTGTTTCCTTTTTTGCTTTACTGCACTGACTAGGACAATTCTGAGTAAGAACAGTGAGTGACCATCCTTCCTTATTCCCAATGCTAGGCAAAAACATTAAGTCTTCCACCAATTATTATAATTACTAGCTGGAGGTCTTTCATAGATACCTCTTATCAAGTTGAGAAAGCTCCTACTTTTCTGAGTTTTTATCGTGAATAAATGATGAATATTGTTAAATGCTCTTTCTAATAAGCCTACTGAGATGATCATACAGGTTTGAAGAATTCTGTGTAGTTTGTTGATATTGTGAATTATACAACTCATCTTCAAATGAAGAAACAATCCTGCATTTCTGGAATAAATGGCACTTTAGCATGATGTATTATACTTTTTATATAAACTTTATTCAAGTTGCTAGTATTCTGTTGAGAAATACCTTTGTTTTTTTATATCAGAGTAATAATGGCCTCCTAAAATAAATCAGTGTTCTCTTCCTTCTATTTTCTGAAGATTTTTGTATATAATTGGTTTTATTTCTTTCTTAGTAAGTTGGTAGAATTCACCAGTGAGTCCATTTGGGCTTAGAGGTTTCTGGGAGGAGGGGGTGTTTAACTACAAATTCAATTTCTTGAATAAAGAGCTATGCATGCTATCCACTCCTTCTAAAAGGATTTTTAGAATGTGATGTTTAATTTCAAAATATTTGTAGATTTCACATATAATCTGATACTGATTTCTAGCTTATTTTCGTTATAGTCAAAAAACAGACATATTCCTGAAAAAATACCTGTAAAGTGAAAGCATGGAAATCAAATTAAATGCCTTGTGAATTTGATGAAATCTGTCCATTTATCTAAGTTATCATAATATTCCCTTTAACTTCCTTTTGTAGAATCTATACTGATGGTCTCTCTTTTCTGATACTAGAAATTGTTGCCTTCTCCTTTTTTTCCTGATTAGGGCAACTACAGGTTGATCAATTTTATTGATCTCCTTAAAAAAACTCAGCTTTTGGTTTCACTGATTTTTTTTCCTACAGTTTTTCTGTTTTCTATTTCAATGATTTCTGCTCCTATCTTTGGTAACTCCTTCTCTGCTTGTTCTGGGCTTAATTTGCTCTTTGCCCTCTATTTTCTTAAGGTGAAGGTTTAGATTATTGTTTCAAAACTTCTATTTCCTATTATAATCATTTAACATTATAAATTTCCCCCGGAAGTACTGCTTTAGGTGCATCCCTTAAATTTGGATATGTTGTATTTTCATTTTCATTCAATTCAAAATATTTCCTAATTTCCCTTGTGACTTCCTCTTTGACCCATGGGACTTTTAGAATGTGGTATTTAATTTCAAAATATCTGGAGATTTCACAGATAATCTGATAATGATTTCTAGCTTAGTTTCATTATAGTAAAAAAATACAGACATATTCCTGAAAAATTACCTGTAAAGTGCAAGTATGAAAATCAAATTCAATTTTCTGATAGTAAATTAATGAAATGATTTGCCCACAGCGAAGGAGAGACAGAACTAAAGATTAAGTCATCCAGCATCCTTTCCTCTAAAGGATATTAAGAGCATTATGTTCTCTCTAAAACCCACCTCAAAATCAAGAGACTTGTCATTTTCCCTTCTACTCTTCCAAAAAAATAAATAAAAGGAAGAAAAAGACAATTTCACAAAGAGCATCTCATTTGATTTTTACAACTCTATAAAACAAATGATAGACATTTTGTACAAGGAAAATGAAGCTCAAAGGAGTAACCTGCCTTACTGGTTTGGCCATGTCTCATTACTCTTGAATTATTCCTTGAAGATAAAGCAATATACATAATTTAAATCTCTAAATAATTCAAAACCTCATTTCAGCCACTGTTGGAATCAACATCACCTCAGTTCAGAGTAAGCTGTAGTAAAATCCACCTAGGCTTAAGTTTTATCATCTTGACTGTTCATATCCATTCATTATTAACAAAAATCAGATAATAAAGAACCAGTTAAACCCCAAGAAATAAAAAGTAAATGGGCAAAATATGTAGGAAGGAAAAATTAGACCCCAGTTTAATAAGTCATAAACTATATAGCCATATTTGTTTTTCACACAAAAATTAATATGAAATGAATATATCAAGTTATATTTTTTCTCTTTCAAATTCTTGAACTGTTGACTAGGATCTAAAGCTCTAAAATATTATCTGCTGTTAATATTTACATATTAAAATATATTAATATGTAATATTTTGAAATATTAGAATATTTTATAGTATTCTATTTCAAATTAGAATTCTGAACTATAATGTTACAGAAATTAAATGGCTTTAAAGGTAAGAGGCACACATTCTTACCGTATAACTGTTGACTTACGGGCTGCAGAAATTCCCCTCCGGTAGCATCACCACTTTGGCTCAGATATCAATAGTACAGCAGTCAAAATTAAAACTGAAAAAAAAATTTCAGTAACAGTAAGTAAAGTGCATTCAAGTCTTCAAGAAAGTCTTAAATTCAAATTTCACATTTCAACAATTTCATTGAGGGAGTTCCAATCCCAGAACTAGTTTTCTTAATTAGTTTAAGCAAGAAAGCTAATAAGGTATGTGAATTCCTGTATAATTCCAACTCCCTATCCTGGAATAAGCTCTGAAATTAACATCAAGAAATCACAGTAAATAGCTAAAGGGCAGAAAAACAAAAAGCCAAGTATATTACAGGTATATTCAACTGAACTGCTCAGTTCATAGATTCAACACACATACATTTAAGGTTTTATTACTGCCCACAATGAACTGAACATTGATGATTCACACAAGAACTCTATCAGACAAGAGCTTCTGTATCAATTTTTCACACAAAAATAATAAATTCAGCGGCACCTGAATTTAAATACAGGTGGTGCAGTCAGTTGAGCGTGGACTCTTGGTTTCGGCTCAGGTCATGATCTCAGGGTCTTGAGCTCCACTCAGAGTCTGCTTAAGACTCTTTCCCTCTCCTCCTATCCTACACCCCCCCCAATAAACAAATAAATCTTTTTAAAAATCTATTTAAATTCAATAAAAATCTTGGTGATCCCTTTATAAATACTTTAATAGAACATATGTGGATAAAACAGTAACAAAGGTTTAATACTTGCTGAATCTACCCTAGAAAGCGTTTCCAGAATAACTGATATTCAGAACGGCAAGACTGTAGAGCAATCTGATATTGTTTATCAATGCTCTGGAGCTAAGCAGTACCAGAAAGTATAGAATTTCCTACCCCAACAGAGTTATGGTTTATTTAGGAAGAATACGCAGAAGAAAAATTTGGTGAATATCATTCACTAATTCAGCAAAAGTTTACCAAGCATCTTGTATGAATAAGTCTCCCCACTGTAAGGCAACAATGCAGACACAAAAATGAATAAGAAAATGCCTGCTCATCAGAGAACTCACAGTCCTGTGATGGTGACCAATGCCTGCCAATAATTACAATACAGTGAGGTAGCTGTACGAGAGCAAGAGTGAGGCGGTGGAATGGGATGTATCAAACAGTCTCAGAGGACAAGGAGTAGGGAGGAGCGAGGCCAGGCAAAGGCCGTGCAGGCACGGGAAAGGAGGACTGTGCAGTTTCCAAATGGGAAAGCAACTTTGAGTCTATTAAAGAGGATTCTCTGCATATGCATGAATTATATGTAGGCCGGTAGATGAGAACCTACACAGTTAAGACTGTCACTACCATTTGGAAAGCAGGGAAAAAAACAGATCATTCAATGATCCTCTAATTTATACACATCCCACTAGTTTGCTTATTTAAAATTAAAAGCAGCACATAATTTTCTTCCCCTTCCTTAGGAGTAGCTGTACAGCAAGCTCTTGATTATGCAGAGTAAAAGCAAAATGAGTTTTTCCTAAGTAATTTGCATTAGTGATCACCTTATTTCCAAACACAGAGAATTAGCCCTAGGTTTTTGATTATCCAGGTCAAATTTTACCTCTATCAGATCACCTTATTTGCATGATTCTGAAAGTACCCAGCACTCTACATTTCACGTTAGAGATGGTTCTGTCTAGCTAACTGTGAAGGAAAGGGTCTGACGTGTGTGTTTTCTGGATGACCGTTTGTGTTTAGCAATCATGTGTTAATTCTTCCTTTGGGAAATACAACTATGAGTTTTCCCATTTGCCTGAAATGCTACGTACTGTTAATCTGTTAATAGCTATCACTTGGTGAATGCTTTACTCAGGATTAAGCACAGTGCTCACATGTCACATACATTTAACTTAATCCGCACAATGCAGGTAACATCTGTCTCCATCAAAAAATGAGGAAACCGAGGCCCAGAAGGTGACACGTCCAGGATGACACAGCTTGTAAGAAGCAGGGTCAGGACCGGGGGGTCTGGCTGCAGTCACTCTTCTGAACAGCGGTATTAGACAGCCTCCTTGTGGACACGTACACACGCATTTTTCTTTCCTGCTCTGCCGCTACCATGTCTTACTTAAGTCAGGAACCATCAAAGTCTTGAAGAATCAACTAGACTTTGTGAATGTGTTGCTTAATTTTACAGGGTAGAGCATATCTTTAACTCCTTGGAAGCTACAGTTTAAGGCTATTAAGTGTGAAACCCAGCACTTCTACTTAGAGGTGTCAGGGAAACACATTTAAATGCAACACCAGAACTGAAATTCTATTTATGCCCCATGGTTAAGCTCTGGGTGGTGCTGAAAATGCTTCTCCGTGGCCGTGGTCTAAGAGCACAATTGCCCTGTCATTTCCTACCACAGGCCTGCATCCATGATGCTCCCCCAGCATGAACGCCTTCTTCTCGCTTCCACGCATCCCAGCTGTACCTAGCCTTCAGAATGCAACCTAGTACAGCCCCCTCCCCCCATCCATTCAGCTCTCTAGCTGCTCAACAAACATTTATTGTAGTAGTGTGTCAGGCACTGCGTGTGTCCTCACCCTGGAAGATCAAGGCCCAGTCCTTCAACCCCAACAACCCCTTGGTCCACCAGAAGAAAACTGTACAAACAAGGAACTAGTATTCAGTGTGATAAAGGTGTATACATGGTATTAAGAGAGCACAAGGGAGGGAGTGGAGCCACCGAGGGGAGGGGGTGGCAGGAAGGACATCACAGCCCTGGTAACAACATATATTTGTATATATTACAAATATATTACAGATGATGATGACCTAAAATAAGACAGGAGAATTTTTTAAAGGGAACAAACCTGACAGACATAGGTGTTGGGTGATGAAGTGGAAGAGATGCTAGGATGTCTCTCGGAAGACAGAGCCAGAACCACTAAGGCAGCTCTGTCCAGGAATGATGGATGTGTTTTGTGGATGAACACCATCCAAAATGGCAGCCTCCAGCCGCACAGAGCACTTGACTGAGCACTTGAAATGTGGCTAGTGTGGCTGAGGAACTGAATTTTTAATTTTATTTCATTTTAATGAATGTTAATTTAAATAGCAACACAGGGCTAGCAGCTACTGTACTGAACAGTGCAGCTCTTAACAGTTCAGGTTTGAGATACTAAATTGAGGGGTTATTACCAGTAGGGGAAAGGAATAACCAAGAGAAGGGTATATGAACACTCAAATATTTGTTGATTAGATGAATGAACAAGCCAATGAACAGAGAAACAAACTGGATGATCCTTAAGGACTCCTCCCTTTAAAATTTCATTCAGGAGATGCCTGAGTGGCTCAGTCAGTTAAGCATGTGCCCTTGGCTCAGGTCATGATCCAGGGTCCTGGGATTTAGCCCAGCACTGGGCTCCCTGCTCAGTGGGGAGTCTGCTTCTCCCTCCCCCTCTGCCCTGCTCATGCTCTCGCGCTCTCTCTCTCAAATAAATAAAATCTTAAAAAAATAAAATAAAATTCCATTCAAAGAGGTACTTATCCCTGCTCCTTCGGGTTTTGAATACTGCTTTCAATATGATGGCATCAGACCTCAGTCTAATTCTTAAAATACTGCTAAGTTAAAACTCCTTATGCTATTCAGTGTAAAAAACAAGAAAGAAAAGAAAAAAAATGGAATTTTTGCAAGGAATGATCACAGACCAAGGATAATCAAGCCAGGGTAAGTAACTACCTAGTAAAATGTGTCCAAACACATTTATGGATGAGGCTCCAACAGCTTTATGATGAGCTCTGGTCATTACAAATATATTACAGACCATTCACCTCCTAAGCAGTTCAGCTGATGTTCAATTTACATTCCTCTATACTGTGCTGAGAGAAATGACTGAATTTAATCTCACGAAACACCTAATTTTGTTCTACAGAGCATTTTAAAAGGTCAATGATAATAAAGCTGTCCCCAGTAATATGCCCTTCTATCTTAATTATCCACAACAATCCAAGTCAATATGAGATAAATAACTCCGCGACATGAAAACGTTTAACCTGAGAACAGGTTGTGTCCAAATGACTCACTGTTAATCTGCCAATGTTATCCTAATCTGATTGTACTAGGCTTTACTATTTTGGTCCTTGCCATCCCCCTACAGCTTCCCAATTCTAGTTTTCCAGAAAGGAGAAGCTGTTCCAGAGAGCTGTTGCCCTGCTGCGCTTTCCAGGGCTACCCCGTTAACCAGACTCAAATTCTAAATTCCTCCCTCCCCAGGAGATCATGTCATCAGTAAGAGTTCTTAACTATTCACATATAAAGTTCTATTTACAAGATTGTTAGGCATTTTAGAACCTGTAGCCGCCATTAGCTTCAGAGGAACAAATCTCATCAGAATGTCTAATATGAATGTTTTTAGCTAGAATCGTCTGACAACACGGTAAAACAGCAGTCTTGTGTCTCCCCTCGTTGGCCTCTCAGGTTGGATACCTGTGCTCCAATTCCCAATGCTGGAACAGTCCTACGTCTTTGAAATCAGAGCTGGTAGGGACACACTCAGTTGGCCCCACAATTCAATTCAATGTATGAGTGAGTTCTTTTGTAGAAGGTAAAACAAAAACACTAAGTACTAAGACAAGGTCTTGGCCTCCAGCAAGCTTTATCTGGTGGGAAAGAGTAAATAAACACAAAAAATATGAAACGAGTCTGAGAAGGAATATTGCTATGAGTAAGAGAAATAATTGCAGCCAGCTGACATTCACTGGTCACCTAGGTGTATCACAGTCTCAGCCAGGTTCATTTTCATGTCTTTAGTAATTAATAAAACCACATTAATTCTGAGTACAAATGAAAAATTCTCCCCATTTTGAGTAATCTGTTCATTAAAAAGTACTTATTCCAGACCTTAATACAAGGGTCATAAAACAGTATTTTCTTCCCCTTAACTTAACGAACAGTGTAACTACCTAGTAAAATACAAGGAATGAACGATCAATTCCTGATATGACTTTTGCAGAGATCCACAGCTGGTCCACACCTCTGGGCTAATAATGGTCAAAGAATCGAATAGCCCAGATAAAGATCTGGGTCCTGTCAACCACTCAT